GGAAATGTCATTGGTATTATTTGAGAAGAAGAAAGATTGAATGCTGAAATCTGATTGTAGTTCAGCAAAGAAAATGAGTCTGTGTTTGTGTGAAACACCGTAATGTGAATGGCAGTTCTGTGTGAAGAATTCCAATGATTGGAATGAGGATAATTGTGTATTGAAAGCTGTGAGGGCGAAGTATTACAGTTGGAGATTATGAGGATGAATATATTAGTAGAAATAGCAGTTATTGGTATGACTGAATTACTATAAGGAAGAGACCTATAAGGTGAAGGAAGAGATTATAGTTTCCTTGTGTGTTCAGATATTGGAAATAGAGACGATACATTTAGGAGGTAATAGATTGTGTGACCCTAATGTGAACGCTTAAGCAACTAGTCATTTCCTGTGTTCGAATCTCCCTATATGGGTTTATTTTCATTAGATTAATTTGGAATAAGTAAAACGAGCAATCACAAAGCCTCTTCTAATATGTTTGAAAATTTCTACAAAAATAAAAAGATAAGTGGATAAGCAAATTTATTTTTTAAGGTTAGCTTGATTTTGAAGCATTTCAAGCAGTACCTATTGGTAGCTTCTATTATAGATCTTAGACCAATCGTACAAGTTGTGCTATATAAAAGGCCTTATGAACCAATCCATATAGTCTTTTGTTGAGTTTCATACTTTGATTTAGAATCATGGTCATTGCTTAGAAGGGTTGAGTTTTGTTATTTGAGTAAATGATGGTTGATAGAGGAGTTGGAAGTATCTAAAGCCACACAAGAAATATAATATTAGATCTGATTTTTGCTCCAAGGTTCTATATGTGGCATCAAGGACTATCAATGCTTCTAGTTGTCAACTACTACTTTGGCCTTATTATCTTATTTTGGGAAGGAATTTGAAGATTGAACAACTATGAACTATTGTGCATTGACAAACTACTTTAACTCTTCTTATACAACCACCATCTTAATCCTACATTCATTTGTCACTATTAAGATTTAAGGTTGTAAAGATGCAGCACTATGAATGTTGATAAGCTAGGCTCTTATTTCAATGTGATTGATATGGATTTGGTTGCGATTATTATTTTTTATATTAGTAATATGATGACATAGAAGGACAAAGCTATTGTGAAAGTATACAAAGATTGTGACCTTTCAATTATGCTTCAAATTTTTAATTTAAATTTTTTTCTTATTTTATGATAATTGAATAAATTAGATTATGATTTATATAAGAAAAATCTAATTTTATAGAGTTTTGAAGTATATATAGAGGCAAGAGTGAAGCCTCGTTCCTTCTTGTTAATATTTTTTTTGTCTTTAAGCTTGTTTCAAGACTTTCTAGTCTTCTTGGCATTGGTAATGACCATTCTAATTTAATATTATACCATCTTTGAATAATTCTTCAATCTTTTTAAATGACACAAGAATGTATTAATTTTTTAGTTCTCTAAGATTCATGTCTTTAATAAATATTCATATTATTTAGGTAATTATTAGAATAAATATGGATATTTGTGATATATTGTAACTAATCAATTGTCAAGATTTATAACTTAAAAAATATAATTAAAGAATTAAGTTGTATCTTAAAAAAAATATAACATAAAGATGATAATAAAAAAATTATATTTAAGAAAAGTTAAAACTACTATTGTCAAAACCAAAAAAGATACAAAATCTTGATACTATGCTAGAAATAAGAAAAGATTTAATAAGAGTAAAGAAGTCCTTATTCTAGCTTCTATATATACTATCTGATTAAAAAATTATATGCTAATATTTTATAGGTCATCCAATCCATATCTAACTTGCAAAAAATGTGTCTTACTTGCAAGGCAAGTTTCCAATATGCATGCTACATAGCAATTTTTTGGCCAATTTTTTATCCTTTCAACTACCTAGAAATACTTAGAAAATAAAATATGTATACATAAACTTGATATGTATGTCTATGATACTAATTCGTATATTATTATATGATAAATTATTTTATCATATAAAATTTAAATATATATATATATATATATATATATATATATATATTTTAATATTTAGATTTTAATACTTTTGTCACGTTTTAGTATTTTTTTGGTATAAATGCACTTAATCTCAAAATTTTATTATATCTAATAATTGAAGATGATATAAATATATATAATATTATTTTTAATAACTAACTAAAATTATGTATTAAAATAAATTATTATATTAATTTTTTAAAATATATGTATATATATATATTAAGTTAAATTATTTTTTTATTATTATAAATAAAAATTACATGGAAGAATTTTATAAATTAATAGCATATGATTTATTGGTTATAAAATTTTATGTCATAAAGAAGGAAGAAATTATATTATCTTTTCTATTATAAATCAAAAAAATAAAAATAAAAAACTTAAAATTATGAAAAAATATATTAATATATTATTTGGTATTAAATTAGTTGTATTATATATCAAAAAATATTTTTTTATAAAATGAAATATGATCAAATAGTGGCTATACTTTATAAAAAAATGATATAATATATCTTAAATATAGCTTTCAAATCATTAAAAAATATGAAAAGATATCATTTTTTATTCATGAAATATTATAATATATTATTCTATCATAAAATAAATTCAAGTAATATTCTATTTATGATTTGACATCACATATTTTTTCAATATTTTTAAATTTTAAATTTTAAATATATTAATAAATAAAAAATCAAAGGTTTATTCTTTGCATTCAAATTGAATCTTATATATATTATTTAAAATAAGAGTCATTAAGACAATTAATTTTTTAAAAAAATATTATATTATATTTATATAAAATAAAATTTTAAAATATATGTATATAGATCTATATAGATTTTTTAGATTTATAAATAAAGATACAAAAAAACATATTCTGTCATCTTTTATTATATTAAAAATAAATAAAGCTTTTTGATTCAACCTACAAAACTTTAAAATAAGCATTTTTTTCATTATTAAATATTAATATTATTAATAAAATTAGTAATATTACTAATAAAATTAGTAATATTATTAATAAAATTAAAAAAGAGGCCTCCCAAGCTCTGGAGATGAATGTATTTATGTTAAAGATTAAGCTGTATTAAAAGAAACGGCAAATTTGTATAAAATAAACTTAAAAAGAATGATCCCATGTAATATCCAGGTCATGTTTACTCTTCAGAATACATAGGTAAAAAAAAAAAAAAAAAAAAAAAAAAAAAGACTAGGTGGACATTGTTTTTATGTCATCTACCCAACTAGTCATCTTTTTAGTTATCTGTGCACGTTGAGGTTTCAGACAAAAAAATCTATCCAGAATTTTCCTACTCTAAGCATGAAATAAATAAATAAATAAAATAAACAGATTAAAGTTTAAACTTGATGTTTGATTGTAAGGACAGCTCAAATTATTATTTTTTTAATATTAACTGCTCAAAATTTATTTTGAAACATTTGCAGTTTATATTAATAAATAAAAATCTTAAACTTCAAAATCTGACTTCATTTCTCTAATCATAAAATCAGATTATTGTTCAAATTTTAAACATTAAATATGACAGAATTTAAAAACTCAAATAAATAGTCCTACATAATTTTCTTTTGTTCTTTTATTATTATTTTATTTCATTTAATGTAATCATATCACTTCATGCAGATTATTTGCAAGTGCATATATAATAAAATGCATTTAGTGTGAGTGCCCATCTGCTTCATTACCATGAGAAAAAATGTGAGTAAGTTATTTTAGGCAGAAATACAGTCAAGAAGTACACCCTAACAGCAAGTGACCCACTCTGTGAAATAGTGAAAGACCTCACTCCTTATTAGATGAGTAACCCCTTCTCCCATTTTTTTTGGATGATATCACTAAATGTGTGATGTGCTATGATTTCCTCACTGTCATGTGAGGGTTGATAGCAACTGAGCTGACAATTTCCACACAATGTGTCAGTTGATTCTATGCCATGCAGTACAACTTGTTTTTTTTTCTGTCCACATCATCGGGTGTAGAACCTATTCCCATTCAGTCTTGTCACCCTATGTTTAAAGGAGATCAAATTCGAAAAGAGTGCAATTTTAGTCATTTCATAATTTTTTGAAGTTAAAATTTCAGATTACTTGAAAATATACACGTCAACAAATGTGGAATTATTTACTTTCAGACAAACTTTCTTTTTGTACATGCGTCAAAGATTGATTGAACGCTTCAATGCTGGTACAGAGAATATATGGCCTCCAAGAGCAAACACAGATGGTTCCACAGGTTCAACCTAAAATTAGTTACTGCAAATTAGTGCTCTACCTTCATCTCATGTAATCAATGCACTACTGGTGCATTTATCAAATACCAGCGACCTCGTGGATGCCACTGGACTGGAGTCATTTTCTCTACTTCGGCGCTCGAGTTGTTTCTGCCAATTATTTGTCACCAAACTTTCACCTGGCAGACATAGGGATGAGATGTGAACTGGGACGAGGACGATAGAATCTTCTTGTAAAATAACAAATGGTTGAGTAATCAGGCCACGCCAACACTCCACTGCTGCATCAATCGCTGGTGTCTGCACCCAACTGATGGTGAGTTGTTTGATTAACAGTTCCGCGCAGTTGATGAGAGTTGGTGTGTGCACCAGACCATCAGAGCAATGCGAGACAAGCGTCACTAATGGCCTTGTACTAATCGACGTCCCTGCATTAACTCCGCACAGAGGAAAGACAGAAAAAGAAGTGAGGTAAGGTGGACTTTTAGGAACCCTGCAGCTTCAAGCATTCTATGTGTATTGCAGTACTTACGAATTATTGTGTAATAGTACGATTTCAATTCCAACAGGCTTCCGCAGTTCTAATACAAGGGGAACAGGGCATGGTTACTGGGGTGAGATCGCAAGTGCAACAACTGCAGTATAGACAGAAGGGCTGCAAGTGAGGGCGGTTGTACAGGCGACAGGGCCATGTACATAATTCTCAGCGATCACAATAAATTCATCTCCATGCTCTTAATCGGCCAAGGGAGGTGCAAATCCCTACAGATGAGGGCGATGAGTCTCGAGACTACGTATGTCTTCAAGCCGCACATGTAGAGGTCCAATAGGGAGTGATGACAATTGTTGATCAAAGGGTTTGACCCCACCCCAATTGTATGAGCGCCCATGACTTCGTAGAGGTTTCTGCATCTCTGACACTCATTCTCACACCCGGACTTATTACTCTTGTCCTCGGCTCTGGTCCCAATAATAGGCTATTGTCAGAGAGTCACTTTGATCATGCATGCTCAGCTCAAGCTGTAACTAGCACTCCATCTGCACCGCATGGTTTAGCTCAGCAGTTTCGCCACCAGCTGCCGCATCGTTGGAGATAATGTTTCCATGGTGATACGTTTACCTCCTTTTTGAGCTGCTGAAGGATTTGAGTACTGAGCACTGTAAACAGTGAAAGTTTATAGGGTTGCGGGACAACCTTTCTACAATAGCAGTAGCTGCAAAGATATTTGGGTGTGGTGCGTCTCTGTTCAGCCGGTCGGGAAGAAGCTCGCAATCGGTGCGGGAGCTACCACTTGCGAGACAATAAGAATGGGGCGACATTTAGGATTACCTGTCCTGTTGGTGGTCTTGGCCATACTTCTTTTCGTGCAGTTTGCCGTAGCAGCCGATGAGGGCTTTGGCAGGCATTTCAACTATTTTGAGACTGCGAGCTTTCCCCATCGAGTGGATGGAGCGGTTGTGGCCACTACATTCGGCGACCCTGCGAAAGCGGTCTGTGACTATTAGGCCCTTATGTTGCTCAATTGAAAGTTGATATATTGCCTCAAATATTGTACACATTACCTCTATCTTGCTTGGTGAGATGAAGCTAATTGCATGACATCGGTTCTTTATAAAACTCTATGATCTATGGTTTGTTAGTGTGGTGTGTAGACTAGAATCCATGGGACGGAGATATTGTGTTTAGATTTGTTAAGGTAATTGAGGTATGGGTGTCGGTTATTTACCATGAGATGCTTTCTCTCCCTCGTTGTGTGTTGGAGGTGTAAATGAGAGCAAATCAAGAATCTTCCGGGGCCTAAGTTTTGAGAGGCGAATTTTTAAGTATACTTTGGTCATCACAACGGATAGTTGTTGTTTGGATGAACCATCTTAGAATATGTGGTTTATCGTGAACGATCTTATTGCAGTTATTGCTTGCATTTGACTGCCGATTGGAGGCCATGTCCATCCTCGCAGATTTGAGCTAATTTGATACGAACTTCTTTGGACATTGCAGCAGGCGTTTACTGTGAACCTCCTGCGAAGAGATCAACATGAGAAGCTCGCCGGTGTCTCAGGAAAGTCCTGGCAGCAGAGCTTCACTGAAGCAGTGCAACGGAGCCATGAACGTGTTGCATTTTACACGCTAAAACTTAGCCCCGATGCATTTGGGTCCCAAGAATTTCAGAGCCCTGTCAAGGCTGGAAATGGAGAGTATCTCATGACTCTAACGCTTGGAAGTCCTCCGCAGTCGTTCGATGTTATTGTGGACACAGGAAGTGATTTGAACTGGGTACAGTGCTTGCCTTGCCGAGTTTGTTACCAGCAGCCTGGTCCTAAGTTTGATCCTTCCAAATCCCGCTCCTTTCGCAAGGCTGCTTGCACCGATAACCTGTGTAATGTAAGTGTTGTAATTAAATGCTGTTTCTTACCAATCCCTCGCACGGTTTGTCTGAATTCATTGACTTACCGCGGATAGACAACCTTTTGGGATGATCATTCCAACCGGTAAACTAGGTTATTGATGTTAAGATAATTGTGTAGCATTGTATCATCTTCTCAGCTCTGCATCCTGTATTATTGACTGGCAATCTGAATTTCTTGGCGTTGTCCCAGGCTCTTCCTCTTAAGGCTTGTGCTGCCAACGTCTGTCAATATCAATATACGTACGGTGATCAGTCCAACACCAACGGTGATTTGGCCTTCGAAACGATTTCCCTCAACAACGGCGCTGGCACGCAAAGCGTTCCTAACTTTGCATTTGGATGCGGCACGCAAAACCTTGGTACATTCGCGGGAGCTGCTGGGTTGGTTGGCCTCGGTCAGGGTCCGCTATCTCTTAATTCGCAGTTATCACACACGTTCGCCAATAAGTTTTCTTACTGTTTGGTGAGCTTGAACTCGTTGTCAGCAAGCCCTTTGACCTTCGGATCAATAGCTGCAGCCGCAAACATTCAGTACACGTCCATTGTGGTAAATGCCCGGCACCCCACTTACTACTACGTTCAGCTTAACTCCATCGAAGTTGGTGGGCAGCCTCTGAATCTTGCGCCAAGTGTGTTTGCAATCGATCAGTCGACGGGACGTGGTGGAACTATCATCGATTCCGGAACGACTATCACCATGCTCACTCTGCCTGCATATAGTGCTGTCTTGAGGGTAACCCGCTACACTTGTTGGGTCTGATTTGAAGATACTAGACCTGATTTAACCTTGCTTGAACTCTTGAATTTAGAGTTGTTCGAGAAAATTGGCATGCGATTATCTGAATAAGAAACTAACTTGGCTCAATATTCACCACGCCTTATGTACAGGCATACGAATCCTTTGTCAACTACCCTCGGTTGGATGGTTCCGCATACGGCCTGGACCTGTGTTTCAACATCGCTGGCGTGTCGAATCCTAGTGTTCCAGACATGGTTTTCAAGTTCCAAGGGGCAGATTTTCAGATGCGTGGTGAGAATTTGTTCGTCCTCGTTGATACTAGTGCCACCACGTTGTGCTTAGCAATGGGGGGGAGTCAGGGTTTCAGTATCATCGGTAATATCCAGCAACAGAATCACCTCGTCGTCTACGACTTGGAAGCCAAAAAGATCGGGTTTGCAACTGCTGACTGTTAGCCAGTGCTTCACTGACATTTCCAAGCTTCTGAGGACCATCATATGGATTAATGTAGGACTAAGTAACTATTGTCTAAAATTCCTTGGAGGGAATTATTTCATAGTGGCATCAGCCACTATATTCCTCCCCTTGGAAGCAACACCAAGGTGTAGGAAACCGCTGCATACTTCCCACATGGCCGTTGCAGGGTGTGTATCCAACGTTGGTTTGACAAGAATTGAGACAACAGCCAAAGTATACTTTGAGTCCACATCTTCACTAAAGAGTTTACCGTTTTCTGGAGGTTAGTTCATGTTCAAGAATTCTTTCTAGTAATCTTCATGGTGAATGCCTTCGCGCATTAGTTTGAAGCTTCAGAAGGGGCAATAAACGCGCCGTGCTGTGATGCTTCGCTGTCTGCATTATTTGACATTGCAAACTTTCGATCTTTGTTGTGTCTGTTTCTAGACTAAATACCCAACAGCTCTGATCCCACTTCCCCGTTGCTGAACTAAGTTATTTATTTGTTTTTTATAATTTTATAATTTTGAATTTATTGTTTTGTTTATTAACACCTATTGAGCAAAGTCTGTTGCCTTAGTTTAAAAAGTATATAATATATAATCCTTGGATGCTTTTGTACTTCAAAATGGACTTTCGAAAAGGCATGATCTAAAACATTAAAAATAAACTTAAAAAAGGAAGTGATCTATAAAGCCTTAACAGGGTCCTTCATTTGGTGAAACAAAACTTCTTGCGAAGTCTTTGCTTGTCTTGGCTTTTAGAATTAATATAAAGTGAGATGTTAGCATAATATAGCCGAATTAAATTTTTAAATTACTATTCCATACTTATGAAAATAAACTTTAAAATACCAAAAAATTTTACATTTACTCATATATATATTTTTTTCTATTGTGTATGATTGTCGTATAAAAATTACTATATTACTTAATTTAAGTAATCTTTAAAGCTTAGTGTATTTTTAAATATCCAATTTTTTTCTATTTTTAGAAGAATTGGTACTAACAATTTGTTTTTATTCTTATCTTTTGTTAATTTCTATGATACTTTATTATATTCTATAATACTTCTTTAAAATATTTTTTTCTCTAGAATTTCATTCTATGCTTCTTTTTAAATAGCCTTTTTATTCTTTTTATTTATTTCAACTTATAAAACTTATAAATAAAGATCTTGCAATAAAAATCATATGATTTTTAAAGAAATTAGACTAAATAAGAAATTAGGATGCAATGATATCTTTTTGTAGAAAATATTTTACATTCTCACCAATTACAATACCTTTCAAACAAAAAATTGATAGTTGGAATTAAATTAGAATATTTGGATGAACTTGGATCCTCTTTGTATTTTTTCCACAAATTTAATGCCAAATTAGTTATAAAAAATTGCCCACTCTCTATGCTCAAACTTTGATCCATGTAATAGACATTAAAATTCAAAATTTTATTTTAGGATTATATATATATATATATATATTTCAATTTTAATTATAATTTTTATATTTAGTAATTTAGTAATCTAATTTAGTTATGCATTTTAATGATTTATTTTTAAATTTTTATTTCTATATTATAATTTTTTTAACTAATCCATAAAATAATGTGATAGTCTTTGGATTTTTGTGATTATTTTTATAAGATCTATATCTATAATAATGCATCAATTGTCTTTTATTTTAAATATAATTTGGTTTTATAAGTCAAAGTTCTTTTTGTATACTTTTTAAATGTTATTGTTGTTGTTGTTGTTTTTTTTTTTTTTTCTTCTTTTCTTTTCTTCAAAGTATAAAATTTATGATTAAGTTTTTATTTAAATAATTCTATATATAGAAATTCTAATAAATTGAGAGATTTAATATTTTAATTTTAATCTATTACTTGTAATTAAAAAAATATTATAAGATATTTAAACTTTTACTAAATTTTAAAGTCCAATCTTTTTTTTTTATTTTTTTTTTATTTTTTTTTACAGTTATGGATTTGCATCCAAATTTTTCTATCATTTTAGAAAAAATATCGTATAAAATAGTTTTAAAAATACTTCTCTAATTTTTATAGAATAAATATTTTTTTGTAAAAATATTTCATGCATTTGTTAAGTAGTTTTGTAATTTTTGTTGACTTAAATCTTATTTCTATAAGTGGATGTAAAGAATTTAGAATACTGACTGGAATTCTAAATAAGAAGTTTAAGAAGAATCAACAAGAACTAGATTAAACAGATGAGTACAAGAACAACACTAGAGAGGTGAGCTAGAGCTCTAAGAGATGTGTTGTCGAGACTGAGGATTCTCTCAATCTTGGCTCCTATATATACTACAAGCTAGGAAGCTTTTCAAGTAGCTTCCACAAATTAAGAAGCTTTTCAAGCAGCTTCCATGAGCTTGAAAACTTCTCAAGTAGCTTCTACAAACTACAAAGCTTTTCTAGAATCTTCTACAACTTCTTAGTGTATGTTCTTGACATCACCCCCCTCCTCTCCCCCCCCCCCCCCTTTTAGCTTTGAGGTCTCCGAGAAGCACTCCTATTGTGAGTTAGTACCAATGTAAGAAGTTGAAAATTTGTCCCATAGTGTCTGCAATATACTCCAATTATTGTTTGTGCGGCAAGTAGTTCATTGGTCCTTGTAACCAATGATAGTATCCTATGCCTTCAATTTCCAACCAAGCATGAACTTCCGTGTCTTCATTGTGAAAATGCCCTACAAACACTCCTTTGGGAAGTTCACTATAGACAAGTTTCACCTCAAATACAATCACTAGCGACCTGTTACTAGGTATCCTCTGTTGACTTTGAGGTACAGGTGGTTTTTCATCTCAGAGTCGTCTTTGTGAAATACTCGGTTGAGAAGATATAATTGGTATGGTATCTATCTCTTGGCTATCCATATCAGACCAAAAAAACAAGTACTAAACATGGAAGAATGGACTCAGGTTACACATTTATAGTCTCTAACTATGTCTTTTAGAGGTTCCTTTTCTCCTTTCTTTGTAAGGCCCAGGATTAAGAGGCTTCAAAGAAAAGGAACTTCACTAAAAAACTTTCATCAAAAGGACTTAGGTTTCTAAGGATAGCGTCGATGAAACTCCTCTACTTTTTACGACGCATTGATAAGATTTTTCCCTGGTTCCCATGTATGCTCATTGATATCATAGCTGTTCCAATGCACTAGATATTCCAATTTCTTCCACTTATGCTATGAATTTAGTACCTTTTCTACCTCGTATTCCTCGTGGTTTTCAATTTCAATACTAGGTGGTGGATATTGCACTCTTCCAGGAAAAGACGACTCTCGATAAGGCTCCAATAAAGAAACATGAAAGATTGGGTGTACCTTCATAGCAGTCGGTAATCCCAGATGGTATACCACTAGATTGATTTGCTTCTAGATGATAAATGGTCCCAATCTCTGATAGTCCAACTTACCACATGGCTGCTTGGTTTTGATATTCTGTCGAAGCAACTATACTTTATCTCTAATTTTGAAAGTAGAAGCCTGATTTTGAAATTTGTCTTTGGACGCCTTATAAGCTTCTTGGGCGGTTTGCAATTGAAGCTTCAATGAAGTTTGAAGCTCCGATAGTTGTTTCACAAATCCTTGAGCTGCCGAGTTGTTATTACTTGACGAACTCAATAAATCAAGCTTTGGATGATACCCATAGTTGAAAAAGAATGGTCTTTGTTGAGTGGATGCATGAAGGGTGTTGATATATGCAAACTCAGCTAACGATAGATATGTAGTCTAATCATCTTGTTGATAGTTGATGCTTCTTCATAAATACTGCTCGAAAGTTTGATTCACCCATTCCATTTGGTCGTCAGTTTGAAGATGGAAAGTCGAAGAAATCTTGATATCTATCTTTAATATCTCAAAGAGAGATCTGTAGAACTTTGATACGAATTGGGTTCCTCGATATGACATAATATCATCTGATAAACTATGATATTGATACACACTATCAAGAAAGAGCCTTGCTGTGTCTTTGCTTGACAATGTTTTCTTGCAAGGGACAAAGTGTGCCATCTTTTAAGCCGATCTACCACAATAAAGATACTGTCAAATGAATTTGATGGTGGCAAGTCTATAATGAAGTCCATAGAAACTGAAGACCATGGCTAACGTGGAATAGGCAATGGCTGAAGAAGACCATAAGGACAATGTCGAGGGTTCTTGGATTTTGAACAAATGTCACAGGAGAGGACAAAATCCTTGACATCCTTCCACATTTGGAGCCACCAAAAATCTCGAGAAATAAGTTCTAAGGTCTTATTGAATCGAAAATATCCCGCAGTTGAAAAGTCGTGTCAAGATTGGAGAACTCAGAGTCGTGTTGGTCCCTTTGGAATATACAACCGCTCCTCAAAGTATAAATGATCTCCTTCCACCTTGAACTTATCATTATTGACACGTTGCATGATATGGAGGGCTACAAAATTTCTAATAGTCATAGTATGTATCTGATTGAGAAAGTCAGCATCAATTGGTACAATAGCAGAGTAAAGCCTGAATTGTTTCGATTTCAACAATGTTGTACACTGTTAATCAAATGCTGCTTCTCAAGCCTTTGGTGCTAAATACGATCTCTTTGATAATGCATCGGATAGTCCTTATTGCTTCCCAGGCTGATAAGTAATAACAAAATTAAACCGGGATAACAACATATTCCATTGAGCTTGACGACAATTCAGAAACCAATCCGATATGAAGTAGTCTAAATTCTTATGAACTGTGTATACGGTCATCGAATGCATAGCTCTTTCGAGAAAGTGACGCCACTCTTAGAAAGAATCTACTATCGTAAGAAGTTCTTTATTGTAGATTTCATAGTTGATCTTGTGAGTAGAAAATTTTTGAGAATAGAATCCAACTACATGAAGCTTCTCATCTGTATTTATTTACGAAAGTACAACTTAGATAGTAAAATTTGAAGCATTAGTTTCTAAATAGAAGGCCTTTGTAAAGTCTGAATGTATCAAGATTGGAGCCATAGTAAATGCCGACTTAAGATCTTGAAATATTTTTTTCGCTAGAGGTCCCTATTTGAGCTTGTCTTTACATATTAACCGAGTGAACGGAGCAGCAACTTGAGAATAATTCTTGATTAAGATCTGATAGAAGTTAGCAAAGCTAAGAAAGCATTGTACATCTCTAATCATCTTTGGTACTTTCCATGATACGATTGCTTCTACCTTCTTAGGATCCATCTTCAAGCCTTCCGTAGTTGCAATGAATTCCAAAAATTCCATCTCAGTTTGGTTAAACAAGCACTTCTCCAACTTGACGTAAAGTCCTCGCTTGTGTTTTTCATTCTCTTCTATTTTCTTAAAAAATATCAAAATATCATCTAAATAGATGAAAAAAAAATCATCAAGGTGCTCTCGAAAGATGTCATTCATCATATGTTGAAAGGCTATCGGAGCATTGGTAAGACCAAAAGGCATGACATTATATTCAAAATGGCCATATCTTGTATGAAAA